TGTGTTTTAGGTGTGTTTTAGATTGATTGGCATTGCTTGAGTTTTTGCAGTGTTGAGTTTATAATAGGATAATTTGCTATATTCCCGTGTTATGTAGAGTGCTGGGAGAGATGTTTCGGGACTAGTGATGGTCAGGAGGACATCGTCCACGAAGAGGCTGAGTTTATGTTCAGTCTTTCCTATTCGGTTCAGTCTTTCCAATTGCTTCACTGGTATGTATTTGGGTTGCTAGGGGTTCGAGCGCTAATACATAAAGTAAGGGGGAGAGTAAACACCCTTGCCATATGCCATTTGATATGGTGAATGGCTTGGACATGAAGCCCTATACACTACTTTGGCGTAGGATTGTTATTGAGTGCCTTGACCGCTGCTATGAATGGGACCGGGAACTGGTATTCTGTCATCACTGCTTCTAGAAAGCTCCAACTCAGCCGGTCAAATGCTTTCTCTGCATCCAGAGAATGCAGAAGACGCCCCACGCCCCATCGCCTCATGGACTGCAAGATGTCCACCACTCATCTAGTGTTATTGGTCCCTTGCCTACCTTTTACAAACCCTGATAGGTCAGGGTTTATCAACGATTGTAGGCTCTCTGACATCCTATTGGCAATGATTTTTGCAAAGAGTTTGGCGTCCAACTTAAGAAGGGAAATGGGCTTAAAGTCCTTTCAGTGGGTCTGGGATTTAGCTGGTTTAGCTAGTGTGATTACAGGCGCAGAGAGCATGTCTTGGGGTAACTTGGAGAGGCGAATTGCGTAGTTGAAGAGACCTAGTAATTGGGTAGTCAGTATTTTGCTAAACGTCTTATAATAGATATTTGAGAGAAAGCCGGGGCCTGGCATCTTGTTGACTGGTAGGTGTTTTATGGCTGTTGCTATTTCTTCTGTATCTATGGGACGTATTAGTGCCTCCTGCTGTGCAGGCCGTCGTGTGGGTGCTATCAAGGTATGTTGTTGCATCAGTCATTCTGGCATGATGTAGTGTGATATCATCTTGAAGGTTGTATAGTGCCCCGTAAAAATTGTCAAATTAGTCTATTGTTCGCTTCCATGGTGATGTAAGGGATTCTATATTTCACTTGGTTAATGTAGTTGCCAGTCTTTTCCCTGCTCTATTGCCTTGTGTGTATAGCGTTTATTTTAGTCTTTTTAGGTATAAGGTAGTACGTTGTAGGTTTTTCCCTTTGATTTTATGTTGGGTGTGTGCTATTTCTGCCCAAAGTCGTTGGGAGGGTTTTGTCGGTTTTCGGTGATCCTTCAATATTGATAGTTATGGCTCGCTTCAGGTATGATGTGGACCTTTACCGACAAAAGGTCACTCCGGGTCATTCTAAGCTTAGTGTATCTTTATGCAATCTATAGCTGTATACGGAGCAGACCCTTCTGTTCCCAAATTACTTATAAATACTGTTTTCCTTAACCATTCTAGATGATAACTTGACTATCACTAAAATAATCCAGTGTCTGAAGACCCAAAAGGCACTGTAATAATATTGTATTAAATGAAACAATGACTCAAATAAATATAAGATAAAAGTGTATTGAATGAATGTTACAGAATGCAAAAATAGTCAGTAAATAATTAATCTTACCAAATGTATTAGTGGCTACAGCATATGTCCCTGTATACCTTTCAGATGTGTGGTGACAGCAGGCAGAGTAAGAGTAGATGAATGAATGAATGAATGATGAATGACAACGTCACACTCTTTCTCCTTCAGTTAAATAGCCATTTTGTCCTCCATAAAGCAGCCCCCACCTGTGTAATACTCCCAAAAAGGTTTTCTAACTTGTTGCGTGATGTAATGTATTGAATATCTAAGTTTGGGATATACCCTAGATGGCTCTGCCTATAGTTAGCTTCAAAATTAAGTGAAGTGTTTTGTATACATTTGACTGACAACACATGTGTTTGTTCTAATTTAACTTCAACCTTTTAGCTGTTAACCTTGTGGAAATGTCATTGAAAATTTAACTTTTTCAAATCTAAGCAAAAAGGCCTGCAATATTTCATACAACTCTTTATACAGCTAAATGTACATTCATATTAGATATATATATGCACCATACCATATAATACATATATATATTGCAAACTACACATTAAATAATGATCAACACTCCACAGGTTTATCCTGATTTTCCCTATTAAGGTACCTCAGACTCTCTTCCCATTCCCTCATTTGTTTTTGAGAGGTCTGCTTGATGTGTGATGCCTGTTTGATAAACAAACCTCTCGCTACTGTTTTATTAGCGAGCCATGCAGTGTCCTGGGTATGTCCTGTGTGTTGTTGGTAGAAAAGTAGTGCATCAACTGGTCTGTCATGGAGTCCACAAATTGGGGGTCGCGTAACAGTGACTCGTTAAGATGCCAAGGGGGTTTGTTCATGAAGGAAAATTTGTCTGAAAGTGTCAGGACTATGGGGGCGTGGTCGGACCATGTCATAGTCCCTATCTCACAGTCTAAGGTGTGATCGAGATGTGACCTCGCAAAGTAAAATTGGTCAATTCTCATGTAACAGTTATGCACTGTGGAGAAGTGTGTGTATTGTTTGCCCGAGGGGTTCTGTGTTCTTCACACGTCGTACAGGTTGTAAGAGTTAAAAAGGAAATGCAATCTTTTGGCTATTTTTGTCATCTGTGCTACCCTTGTAGGTGCTTTGGCTGATGTTAATCTAGCCAAGGGTCGTGGATGCAGTTGAAGTCGCCCCCTATTAGGAGGATGCCTTGTTTTATTTTGTCTATCTTTGTCAAGACAACAGAGAGGAAATCTGTCTCAGATGTGGCATGGTATTGGTGTGGGAATTGTTTCAGGTTGATTCTATGGGGGTCAGTTTTCCTAAAGTGTGTTTCCTGGAGGCATATATTATCTCCTTTAAGCTGTGCGATTTCCCTGTATAAAGTGTGGCTTTTGGCAGGGGCGTTCAGCACCCTGACGTTATGTGATACTACTCACATGTTGTTTCAAATTTGGTGGTATTCTCACATTGCATCTTGTCTCAGTCAACCCATCCTCCTGGTACCATGTCTGCCGAAGAAAAGAGGTTATCAGAAAAGAAAAGGAAAGAGAGTGTAGAAGGTACATAGGAATATAGTGTCGATTAACACTGGAAGATATCATGTGGCTGCTCCAACGCGAGTCGGACCACTTCGCCCCCCCCAGCGAATTAGTATTGGATTTGGTTTTACCAAATGTGGCACCTGGTTCCAGGCGGTTCTTTGTGCAAAACATATTAACATTACAACCCTTAGCTCGACACAGAGCAACTAAAAATAACCATATGTAAAAATAAGAACTGAACTCAAGAGACATGTCCCCTCATGTTATCCTCGTTTGCAACTCTTGGATCCCTATCACCATGAATTCAGTCCCCTGTTTTTTTGGGGTGTTTTTTTTGTCTGTTTGTTTCTATTCCCACTGGTGGGCCTGTGCAGCTTAGGATTGTGGGATCTCAGGTGTGGGGTATTACCATGCACATTATGTACCGGCCTCTATGAGTGGAACCAACATTAGGGTCCAAGCCTCCCTAAACCCACCCATTGTCAACTCCCCCTTCCCCCTTAACAACTCGAATGTATGTCTATTGTCCCTATTTCCCAAGGCTTTCACCCCTTTTGTGTAGTGGTGAACCTGCTTCAGTGTGTATGTTGAGCATAGTTCTCACCTTTCCTTGGGATGTGAAACAGTGCATCTTAGTGATGCAAGTGTGTCTTATCGGGGTATGATAGCAAGTCCGATCTTTGCATAGGTGTCTCCAATGCAGTCACCATGGCAGCATATGGATGCACTTGTATCTTGTAGAGACACATGTCTCTTTGAAGCATGCTGTAGGTGGGGTAGTTCCGTTCGGTCGGGGGTCAGTGTGACAGGTCGGTTCCGTCGATATGTGGAGGTGTAACGGCAAGGGTGCATAATTTATTATCACACTATGGAATAATGTTCTTTAATGTAATTTGTGTAGTAAATGGCAGAGATGGTATTGTCGAGGTCAAAAGGGGATACATCTTTTGAAGATCAGACCCCCACAGAGGTCAGTTGGCAGAAGGGGTAGTATGAATGGCATAGCAATGTGAAAAGGATTTTACCATATGGATGTGAAGTAATCAAGGCTCTGCAATGTGTGAGGTTCTACACTTGGAAAAAGTCTGAATGTCTCTTCATCCATTTGGCATGTACCTTGTAAGTGATGAGTCAATCTCTTTGATATGTAAATGCCATTAGCCATGTTCCAGTATCATATCCAAAGGAAGGACAAAAACACTCATATTTACCCCACAGAATAATACTAAAGCCTCATTTTTGTTATATTTGGAATGTGACACAAGTGTGACTTGGAGTAAGTGACTCACAGCTCCTCAGGGTCCAAATTAGTACAGCCTGTGAGGGGTTGGTAGAACCATGGATTAGCGCCTCTGCCTCTTCCATTCAGGAGCTACTGCGGCTGACCTGTTCCTAGCACTGGGAGCGGTATCGGGAAGAATATCCCATTTTTGTAGGAGCTGAAACCCTTCTTGTTATGCAGACCAGCAATCTGGTGGGGAAACCCCATCGATATTTTATTTGATGTTTCCGAAGGGCTCCGGTCACTTGTATGAAACTCCTTCTCTGTGCCAGGGTGGAAGGTAAGATGTCAGCAAAGATCTGTACCTCTTTATACTTGTCCACCAACTCTCTCATGCTTCTGCTTGCCCTTAGGATCCCCTCTTTAATATGGTGGTAGGGTGCTCTCTATAAGACGTCCCTAGGCACCGCTATCAGGGCTGCTGTTGCCTTTTCCACTCTAACAGGAACATTGTGGCTAGGACATCTGGGCACAGGCTCTGAAAGAGGCCTGTTGTGTAGACCTCCAGATCACCTGCTGGTATTGACTCCGATATCCCACGCAACTTCAGGTTGTTCCGGCGGGACCAGTCCTCTAGGTCAGTCAGTTAAGTCTCGTGAGAGGCCAACCTTGTCTCCATCTGCTGTATTTGAGCCACCAAGGAGTTTTGTGCCTTGGCCTAGTCATCAGTCCTGCTTTCCAGGTGCGCTGTTCTGCTTCCAATGTCGTAGATGTCTCTCTTCAGGTCCGATAAGGTGGACCTAAATTGGGCTATCAATTTTACAGATTGAGCATCTAGCATTGTTTGGAGCAGGGATGTAGTCAGCAGGCACTCTTTACTTTGTGTGTTAGATAGTAGAGAGCAAGAGTTGTGGCTGTCTTCCAACTCACGGTCGCCATCTTCTAGGCCTTCCTGCAGGATTACGGCTTTAACTTGTTTTTTCATGGCAAAGAAGGCAGATTTGTTGCTTTTCTGCTTGCTTTTGTGATGAGACATTTTAGGTCAATTATTGTCTCGGAAATTAGGGCAAATAGTGTCGAGTTAAGGTCTCTTTTAGTCCGCATGGCGTGGAGAACTCAAATCATGTGGCCATTCTTCACGGCGCTCAGCTCCGCCCCCCACCCCCTCGAAATTTTGAGTGATAAAAGGTTCCTTTTATTAATATTCACTAAAATTATAAAAATGAAACATTTTTTAAGATATTTTTAAAATTTTGTTTATTTTTATTTTTTTACAATTTGACCATTTGTTATGGTGATGGGGTTTCACATAAAAAAGGGAGAGAGTACGAATGAAGCACTGTTTGGAGATATTTATTATCGCCACAGATCGAACAGAGTTCTTGAATTATATTTTTTCAGGAAATATGTATTGTATTCTCTGTTGATGATTTTGCCATGTTTGTACATGTTCCCATTAATTTCATGTTTTGTTTAATCTGTTTCTCCCAATAAAAAAAAAAAAACAGTTTTAAAAAATTCCTCCAAGGGTATGCTTTCATTTATTTTGCTTTGAATAATATAAGCATTGTATGTTATTTCTATACATTTAAGTTTAGACTCAATGCAGGATGAAGTGAGTTAACAATCTCTCTTGAATTCAGTCACCCGCAGGAAACGGCCTTTAAATCCAGATAGGTATAAGACCCTAATTACTGGCCTCTTTTTTAGGGCATCTCGAAGGTCCGCAAAACAGATTGTGCATAAATGCATGATTTATCCGTACTGTTACATGCAGACATTAAATGCCTAAAGCACTTGATTTGTCTGGGGAATAAGGGGAGGGCTTGGAAATGCTACAGACAAGAGATCTGCAGCTTTGGCAAGCTGTTTTTAGATATACCTACAATGAAAAGAAAAAAACATAATTAGAAGTATGCATATTTTAATTAAGTGTATATCTATTAAATTGGGCTGGGGGGGAGATTTGGGCTATGTAGAGTCCCTTTAAGCCAAGATAGCTAAACTGAAATGCAAACAGACTTGGAAATGTTTTTGTCAGTTCAGCTATTTTTAACCCAGAATTCTAATTTCACTTTAAATTCTCAATAATTTACACTTTGGTGAAAACCCTAACAGGGTTATTAACCAGTTTCCAAAAAATTAGCTAATTAAATCAAAATTAAGAAACTTAGGGGAAAACAGCAAAGCTGTGACTTTTTGCATTAGTTATTTTATTCTCAATTTTGTTTTTCAGGTTTAATCTGCTAAACTTGAAAGTTTAGTGAATAACCTTGATCTTTGTATCTCTGATACACCCTCTGGGTGTATGATCTTTTACATGTCTTTTTTCAATATTTAACTGTTTGCTCTATTTCTCTGTCAAAAAGAGAACAAGGTAGTTTTTTTCAATAAATACATACATAGCTCAGTGGGCTAATGCATCATCAGGTCGCAGGTTTCAATCCCTGCAGGGTTGACTCAGCCATTCATCCTTCCGAGGTAGATAAAATGAATATTAAATTGGGTAATAGTAACAACCCCTGGATGTTGGGCTAAGGTAACATCCCCAGGATGTAGTTGAAAACCAGAGTAACCTGAATGTACCTTTCCTGGTCAAATATTTTGTTATTGTTATTATATACTGCAATAGTTTAGCATGTATTATAATATTATAATTAGAGTATTAGCCAACTAAAAGGATGATACCTGAACATGGAAAGGGATTATGCAAAAGTATAACCAACAATCTTAAGTATGCAAATGTGGGCAGGTAATTATGTATATATATATATATATATATATATATGTATATATATATATATATATTTACATACATAATGTTTGCAGTGTATAATATGGACAGTTTGCTCTATATAAGTTTAAATATGCAAAATATGTGCAAGCTAATCAACTCCTTTAAGCCGTTTTCTATTATAAGCGTAAGAAGAGACATGTCCACTGATTTTGGATTTCCCTATGGTTCAGCTGCAGGGGATCTTTTGACGCCTAGAGCGAAGTTTACCCGGGGGAGTTAATTAGATGTTCGATTGGCTACGCAGAACACAACCCTTTTATAGTACAAGCTGTCAGGACTAATTTTGTTCTTGCAATTTTATAGTTAATAAACAAGATATTGTGCAGCGTACGTTGAGATTTAGAATGCATCTACATTAAAAGGTCATAGTCAACAGTTGATCCTCTTGTAATATGAACACATATGAATAGCACAAAGACCAAATATTAATTAAAGGCAATGTATATCCTTTATCTATTGTCAGACATTTTGTTTCATATTCAGTACTCCAGTACAATGAAATGAGAGTAAGCAAATGTTACATAAAATAAAAGTTCATGAAGACGTAAAATTTTGCCAAGAAAAAAACCATGCAAGTGCGCAAATTAACTGAGGAACACGTATACATGTGATTAGCTCTTCACTCGTCCACACTCAACAGAGGAAGGGGCAGGGCAAAAACTTTATAATGTCACAGACAAAGAAACACATTAAGGGCAATTTTGGATTATGCCCCCAGCAGGACCCCACATGCTCTTAAATGTGTTTTTCACAATAAACGTTTTTTTTTTGTGTGAAGATTTACATTCCAAACAATTAACTCAATAACTTTTCTAATGCAAACTTTGTTGCTGGCACAGTCAGGTTATCTGCTATTATCCTGTCAGTTGTACAGTATTCAAGGACCATGACAGTTTCATTTATTACTGATCGGAAGATGTGGTATTTGATATCAGTAACATATCATGCATCTTTGACAACAAACTGGATTCCTTGAAAGAACCCCCAGATGGTCTCCAAAGACTTGGACTGGTTAATATTGACATTGATTGCCATTCCCCTGAGCAACTGCATCAGATACAAACTTTGTTGTGTAGTCGCATTTAAAGCCTTGTATTTAGCTTCACAAGAGGACAAAGCTACTGCACACTGTTTCTTAGTCTTCCATGAAATCAGTGCTTCTAACATTAACATCAGCGCCCCAAACATCATCATTGTATGCTTTTATATTCAAGTCTTGATTACACTTCTTGTGGTATAACTCATAGTTGATTTTCTGCTTCAAGTATCTCATCACAAGTTTAGCTGTGACTAAAAGTTGTTCTGTTGGTTTACAATCTGTCATACCTAACTGCTCCAGAATTTTTGATTTGTATTTCTTTTGGTTAATTTTTATGGTACCAATACTTTGTTCGAAGTCAATGCCTTAGAAATGGCTAATTCTTTAAAGGTCTTTCATCTTGAATTTGGCTGTAAGCATTGATCATATATCCATGAGTATTGTTTCACTTCTGGTATCTATAATGAGATCATTTGTTCAAATTATCACTATTCTATTTTCATACTGTTTGGAGCATATGCAACGATTTGCAGGATTTTGCTCAAATTTATTTTCCCTTAAACAGTCATGTAGTATCTGCTTCCAATTTCTACTGTATAATGACTTGTTCAACTTGAGAATTAGCTTTTCATTCTGTTTGGACTTGACCTCAAAATCCTCTGGCTGTTTTACATATATTTCACAATCAATTGGAGCACGTAAATAAGCTATTAGAGGGCATATTTCTTGATTGTGATCTTGATCAATGTATCTGGTATTATATGTTTCTCATCCATCCATTTTTGGTCTTTATGACATACACCCATCGACAAACAAACCCCCTACCACCACTAAAAGTTTACGTGGTCAAAGTGAATGTGTCATTCTCTCTTTGTGAATCCATTTTCTCTTTCATAGCATTAAGTCAAAATTGTGACTGAGGGGGATTCATGGCATCTTCAAAGGTTTGTGCTATGTCAAACACTAAGTAACAATGTTTAATGTTCGATAAAAACATGGTCATTACATTTGAAATCTGAAACATAATTTTTCAACTAATGATGAACTTTATTTTCTCTACAGTAACATGAGATCTCTTCTAAACACTCTACTCTAGCATTATTTGTCTTAAGTACAAAAAATATATTACTGTCTCTGTAGGTATCACCTTCATCATGCAATAGATCACTTTGAGTTTGTTTTTCCAACTGCTTTCTTTGTAAAAAGTGTCATAAACCAGTGTTTGAGAACTTTTCTGGTGTCAGGATAATGTACTAGATAAGAAGGCCTGTTCTTTTCACATCCAACAAAGATTCCTCTGTCACACTTTAAATCAAATGTCTTCCTATTATACCTATATGTAAAATATTCTTACACAAAAATCTTCTTTTTGGAAAGGTTAGCCATTTACAGAAAAGAAAGATCCCCTTGAGGGGCCTAGTGTTTGTAGAGGGAACTTTAAAGTGTGTAACCCTAAGCACTAGATAAATTGTACACAAAAGTGACAATTGACATGAAGTCCAGAGGACACAGTAAAGTCCCTATGAGAATTCAATATAATTAAGAACACAATTTATTAGAGTATTTTAAAAAGGAACATAACACAAGCACAACAAAAAAGGAAACTTATAAACCCCAAAAGGGAGCTATTAAGCTCTGCAATATTAATGGGGTGAAGAGGGTTACAAAGCAAAGGAGGCTTCTTATAAACTCTATGATAGGAGGTGGGTAGAAACAAGTGTATGATAAATCTTAATCACCTGTATATTGATTACCGGGTGATTATAGTGAGTAAAATGTATCAATATAGTCACGCATGAAGTTGGACAACTGTAGTATGTTGCTGAATAATAAAAGACCTATGAGATGTTGCAACAGTAAGATATAAACAATGTTGCCACCTAATCCTAAAAAAATCCTAAGGATGCTGTTACAAGAAAAATATCTAAGTCTTCATTGAACTGACTAAAAATAAATCGACTTTAAAGGTCACTATCTGAAAACATTATCAAATGAAGGCTAAAAGCTCTTGTATATAGAAGCCATAATCCTATTTAGGAAAAACCAGACCTTCAATGCTGACTAGAAGATTACCCTTGAATAAACCCCATTGAAGAGAGTTTCCCCTCATAAGATTGCTGCAATATCCCTCACAAACTAACCATAGTGATAACGTAAACGTGCAGTGAGTTAAAATAATAAAGAAAGCCTGATAAAGCGC